CACCAAGGAAGAGGCAGGGACAGTTGCAGCCCCTCAGAGCACAGAGATGAGGAAAAGATGACTTTGCAGGTGTCTCCCGGGTACCACCCCTCCCATGCAGAGAGCCCCAGACCACCTTTCACAGACACTGCTTCTTTCTGTCAGTATTTGTTTACAGGCCTGTCATCCTGACTAGTCTATGAGCCCTTCAAGGGCGAGAATTATTTTCTAGAACATCAACAGGCACATGCTGTCTGGGCTTAATAAATATTAGATGCTTGTGGCTCACACTGGCTTCCTAGGTAGGAAGGTCAGCTCACCCGAATGAACAGGAGAGGTTAAATATAGATGACCACTACAAAGAGCAATGAGACCAAACCTGTCTGTGAGATGAATAATATGAACACCTAAAATAGCCATTTGGTTTTTCTGATAGATTCGGCCCCTTTAGGAAACCACCGGCTGTTGGGAGGGTGGATGAGATACCAGGAGTAATTGTATTTGGCTGAGGCCTTTGATACCAATAGGACATCATTTTCCCTGGAATCCTGGTTTCCCCCAACCTTCCCAGTACCAAGGGTAGACAGCACAGACAAGCAGTGATCAGGACTTCCCTCCCTCTGCCCCACCCCATCCCCAGGGCTACTGTATAGGAGGGCAGAGTGCAGACCCCTAGTGTGTGTGGGGGGGTGTGCCTATAGCTGCCGTGGAGGGGCAGAGAGTCTCCTACCTGGTGCCAGATGAACTATCTCATACTCATCTATTGTGTTAATCGGTCATGTCAAATGAAATATATGTGATTATGGCTCATTAGAAAAATACTTACATATACTTACCTAAATGTGTGTATAATATGCAATATATGTGCACATGCATAGGTAATCTTTCTATCATTTACTTCTTTACCCAGTGTGGGCTTTGTGTATTTTCTGCTTTTCTCTAGGTTGTCACTAGAGGGCAGTATGTGCCCATGTTGACCAGTCAAAGACCCTAGTGTATAGATGGAGCATCAAAGGGCAAGTTTTCTGCCTTGTGCTTTAGGAGCGCAGAAATTTTAATATCCACTGGTTATCTTTATTTTACTAGTAATAAGGTATAAATAAGGATGGAAAGACTGACATATAGGCATAAGTATGACACACTTACTAGAAGTAGCAAGCTTGAATTAAGAATCCCAGAATCTTCACGTTGTTGTTAAACATGTGAACATCACTATTTGTATTTAAACACAGGAAGCAAACCTCTCATTTATCATTTCCTCTTTTATATTACTTAATTGTCCCTTACAACATTTCTGTGAAGTCAAAGATGAATGCATATTTGTATTTTCTTTTTTAAACAGAATGTGTGACTGTTGAAAATATTCAGGTAGGAAAAATAATATCTACTGCAATCTGCTGAGGCCAGGCCCTTTACATATTCCCATCACCACCACCACTCTCATTCTCTCTCCCTGTCTTGTCTTGTCTTTTTTTTTTTGAGACAGAGTCTCACTATGTTGTCCTTGGTAGAGTGCTGTAGAGGCGTTGCAGCTCACAGCAACCTCAAACTCTTGGGCTTAAGTGATTCTCTTGCCTCAGCCTCCGAAGTAGATGGGACTACAGGCACCCACCATAACGCCCAGCTATTTTTTTTTCCAGCTATTTTTTTTGTTGTAGTGTCGTTGTTGGTTAGCTGGCCGGGTGTGAGCCCACCAACTTTGGTGTATGTGGCTGGTGCCCTAACCACTGTGCTACGGGCACCGAGCCTCTCCCTGTCTTTTAAAGCAAGGCAACTAAAGCTTGCTGAATGACTAGCCTGAGGCCACACAAGGAAGCAGCCCCCAGAGTCACAGGCTGCTCCATCTGGCTCTTTCCTCCACTTGTGCTAAGTTCCCAAGCCCCAGGTTCTCAGTCACTTGTTCTGCCCTCTGCGCTTCCCTCCTCCTACCCAGGTCCTCAGTGCAGAGATGGCGCAGGCGCAGCCAGCACGGAATACATATTGGCTTCTCATCTGGCCACTAACTATTTGTTATCAAATGTTAGATTATTTTTTTTTAAGATTTTTTTTTTTTTTTTTTTGCAGTTTTTGGCTGGGGCTGGGTTTGAACCCGTCACTTCTGGCATATGGGGCTGGTGCCCTACTCCTTTGAGCCACAGGCACTGCCCAAGAAATAGATTTTTAAAGAAGTTAAACAGACTGGAAATGCCACATAAAACACAGATCATATTGATCCTTAGTGCCTATTGAGGCAAGATTGGAGCAGAGAACACATGTCAGGACCTGGTTCAGGGAGGCCAGCCTGACTGTGGCCTAGAAAGGGTTGGGCCATCTGCAGGGGAGTGAAAAGCATGGGGACTGTGTAGCTGAGTCCCAGGGCTCTGGGGCCTCTGGAGGCATTATGCCAGACAATGACACCATCACTAGCTCCAAACCAGTGTGGACCTCAAGGGGTTCACCTGTAGCTTCCAGATGGGCAGTGGACAGAAAAGGTGACCTGCCACAGAAAAGGCATCAGCTTCTTCTAGATCCACTCAGGACCCCAGGACACTTCTGCCCACATAAAGGACAAAGATGGGTATTGTCAGACATAGGGTCCTTCCCAACCCAAAGTGACTTCAAAGTCACTCAACTGCTGAAGTCTTAGAAGTGAATCGCAGAAGCAGCTGTGCATTGGCTGATGATAAATGCCATCTGGATCGTAAGTGGACCGGCAGTGGTTCTCTGTACTATAAGGGCTGGGCAGAATCTCACAAGACACTAGTTTCCTGTATTTAATGTCTACCATTTTTGGGACAATGAATTTCCTCAAGCTTTTGTGCAGAAAAGTTCTTGTGTGTTACCAGTTAATCCTGGCCTCTTATTCTTTGCTACTATTCTTTTTCAGAAGGCTTATTTTTATTACGGCATTACAGAAAGAGGCTAGTTTTGCATTAAGCAAGATGAAACTCACAGCCCCACTGCCCATGCTGGCTTAGCGTGGATTCATCTGTGTGAAGTTAGGGGGTGGTAGGAAAGCCCGTTTCCATCCTGGGACTCCATGGGAATTGTTCCTGAGAGGATGGGCAAGAAGGAGCCTCCTGACATGTGGGAGAAGGGCTTGCTCGCAGTGGGAAGAGTGACCCATCAGGACACTAGACTTTCTTCCAGCCTGGCTGGGGACCCCCTTGGACTCCGCTGCCTTTTATCCTCTACAGGTACAAAAACATCACTAAGGGTCAAATATTTTTTCTATTTTGTCATCTTGGCAAATCTGAGGACGTATTTGTTGAATTTCTATCCTCAAATCTTCCCTGGTTTGCATCAAAAAGGAAAAGGATTCTATGTTTCCTTCAGGCTAGCTTGCTAAGCAAAATCTAACAGGGAATAATGAGGTCTGCATACTGCCAGGGTTAAAGGGTGTCTCCACCCCTGAAATATAATAATCATGCAAAGGCTGCAGAGAGGCCAGCTGCAAACACAGAAGGTCTGACTGTGACTGCTACGCTATTGAAAGGAATCATTTTTGCTGTATTCTTTTATAAAGGAAGGAAATTTAACTAGGTGAAGGAAGGACAGTGAGTGACTGTCTGCCTGAGGTATCTTTCAACTGCAAGGATGAAGAAATAAGCGCTAGACTTATCTCTTCACTGTGGCTTATGCAGAAGGTAGGAACAGGATGAATTACTTGGTAATTCATTGCTTTTTTTCTTAAACACACAATACCTTGACATTTTCTTATAGGAACCTAGTAGCTGTCAGGCTTGGCTCATATTGTAAAAATCCAATGAAATGAATCAAAGTGAGGATATGTGAAGATGCTACTGTCAGCATGTCTACTGGAAATGTGAGAAGGACAAAAGTCCATGAACCCTCCTGGCTGCTCCCACGGTTCTCCCTGGCACCAGAGGGGCTACAATAATTAGCCTTTGCACATCCACCTGAACCTGGAATGGCCTCTCCTTGTTTCTCTGAAGGGTGTCATCATGCTGACTCTGAGTTTTGTCTCACAGTTGAATAACTGCCCATACTCAGTTTATATATATACATATATATATATATATATATATTTTTTTTTTTTTTTTTTTTTTTTTTGCAGTTTTTGGCTGGGGCTGGGTTTGAACCCACCACCTCCAGCATCTGTGGCTGGCTCCCTACTCCTTTGAGCCACAGGCGCCACCCGACTCAGTTTATATTTTATAAAAGCATGTGCATGATATTCCTATAAAAAATTCAGAGTGATGTATAAATCAAGAAGAGCTCTTCAGTAAGTCACAAACAATATTAGGAAAATGACCTGACTGCAGTTAAGCAATGCTCTTAAATAGAGGCATGTCCTTTTGTTACACTGTAATTGCAATCCCAGAAAGTGGTGTGTAGCATCCATGACCCACTACCCAGGGTAGCACCAAGAAGGACTGGGCCTCCCTTTACAAACTAAAACAAAAGCAGCTAAGCCTAGTCATCAGCCACACCTTTCAGGGAAGCACGAAGTCATGACAGACTGCTGAGGTCTGTGCTGTGCTGCTTTGCTCTCCAGACCAGCACCGATGCATAGGAGGCTCTCCGTAAATATTTCTCAAACAGATCAGTGTTCTAACTTACTGGGCTTTCTCTCTGTCAAGCCTTCCTTTGGATTAGTGACATCAACTTCTAGGGCAGTAAAATATTCCTTTATTTTGAAATAGCTGTGTTATGAAGTCTCATAGACGAGTTGGCAGCACAGATTTCAGCAGAAGTATGGCCTGAGCGATCTGCTTAATTCTCACCCTTTCCAGTCTTCACCACATTTCCTGTACCCTGAAACGCTCTCTGCTCCTGTTCTTCCTGTTACTGACTAGATGTAAGGAACCCCCAGGGTCTAATTCTCAGGTGCCTTGGGGTCAGGGAGAAAGGAACTGGTCATCTTGGTTGTGGGTCACAAAACCGACATGCCCAGAACCCAGCCCAGGAGTTAGGATGGGGCACAGCTGACACTGGTTAATTTCACACAAGCCTGTAGCCAGGGACTCATCTCTGAGTCCCAAGAAGAAAGCATCCCTGGGGCATCCCCTGTCACTCACCTTATCACCGTGGGGGTGATCTCTGCACAGAAGAACACGCTGAGGCTCCCCACTGCATGGGAGGCAAACATGCCCACGATGGAAAATGCGATAGAGAATTTGTCCTTGACACTGTCACTCATCCCTGAGGGAGAACCGGAAGGAGGAGGCAGTGAGGGAGAGCAGAGGGGAAGGGAAAGGGGGCCACGCCAGGGCAGGAGGGAGGCCTGGGGCCACAGCGAGCTGAGGGGCTCCCTCCTCCCCACTGCCTGGCTTGCAGCACGGTTGGGTGTGCAGTTCCCTCTGGGGACTGGGTAGCATCTCCAGGCCTGGGAGCCTGGAGTCTGGAGCCCACAGCCCCCAGTAGAAGGATTTGCTGGGCTCCTGCCAGGCCCTGTGGATCCAGCATGCTGCCTCTGTCGGAACTCCTCAGTAGGAGGCAGGCTGGCTGCCTGTGAGAGGCATTTCATATTTCAGCCTCAGGTTCAAGCAGTCCAACATGTGGGACAGGATATCTGAGTCACTGCTGATTTAAGGAACAAACACTCAAAAGCCCAAACAGAAGAATTTATAGGCCCAGAGGGAAAGTGCTTCACCTATCCAGCATTTTGTAAAGGTCCCCAGAGTCTGAGCTTGCAGGAAGGCCATGTCTAGAGCAGCGGGAAGGCATGCTTTGGGGCCATTCTGCTGGGGCACAGCTCAGCTCCCCCCAAGGCTGCATCTGAGGGCAAGCGCTCCCCAAGGGCATGGGGATGTGGGCTTGGGGCAGGCCAAGCAGGTGTCACAGGAGCAATGAGGTGCAGGGCAGCAGCTCTGCTGTCCCCTGTGGTCAGAGAGCAGCAAGCTGGTGAGAGTCACAGGGGGACAGCAGCTTCCCCTGGCAGCTGGACAGCCAAGCCCAGCAGGCCTGAGCTTTCTGCTCATGCCCAGGCACTGTCCATGAGACCTGCTGCATTGGCGCGTGGCCCAGGGCTTCACTGACCACTGTGCCAGGGGAAGGGGGAAGGCATGCGAGCCAGGCTTCATGGAGATGCGGAAACACCAGGCGCTCTTTCTAGAGGCAAGAGGGAGGGAATACAAATGTATCCTTATAGTGTCCAACCTACGGCCAACTTCAGCTGCAATTCTGGGAGGGCAAGGAGGGGAGGAGAAAGAGAGGGAATGGAAACCACAAGTCTGTGAGTCTTTATGAAAACACCATTTGGGTGCAGTATGAGCTGAGGCAGCATAGGCTGTGTGTGGGCCTCACCTGAGTCCGGGTGCTGGCTGTACTTCCCGATCACTGGGCCCGCAGAAACGATCACACAAACACAGGAGAGAAAGTGGGAAGAGGGGGAGAGAGCACATTAGGCATGGAATTATTATGGGGTATTCCCACGTGATTTGTTTCTAAGCAAACTCTCTTCCATGTCTGGGTTGGTGCCAGCTGCTGGGCAGCGGAACTCACACTGGACCTAACAAAGATCTTTTTGTTAGGAAAGAGGGCTAAAACCCTTAGAGCCTGGGGAGAAAATGGAATCCTTCACAACAAAGACCCTAGCAGATCCAAAGGGTAAAAACGTTCTTGTGCATGAAGCCATTCAAGGGTCACTGCTGGTCTGAGCTCACGGAGCAGGGGTGGACCCACCAGGGCTTCTCTGCTCACCCCAGCGATTTGCTGTTTGCCCAGTGTTCCCGGGGCATCCTGGACAGGGCCTAAGGTGGTGTTAGTGACAGCTGGGAGTATCCTATCCCCACCAGGAGAGTGGGGCTGGTAGGAGACAGAAACTCTGTGTCCATTTCTGTTATTAGTCACAGCTGCAAGTCTCCCAGTGAGTTATGGAATGCATACAAACTTTGTCCAAGCTAGACAAATTGCTCCTGAGTTTGAAAGTAGCTATTCTACAATCCAGTCTGTACAAAAAGGCTGCTCTGGCCTGGGATGCAACAGGACAGCTCGGGTTCACTTTCCTTGTAAAAGAGGGGGGTACCTGGTGGCTTCAATTTCCCTGTGGGGTCTTGGGACTGTACCTGGGAAGAGAAGAGGGCTTAGTGGCCCTGCTCATTCATGTTGTGCTCTGGGCCAGCCTGGGCGCTGCCACAGTGGTTTTTCCACCATGGAGGTAGGTCTGTGTTAGTGAGGAGCAATATGGAACATGCCAGGGGCTAGATGGACTCTTCAGTTTTACCTTAGATTATTTTAAAGATTTACTGAGAATTTATTTGCTCCAAAGAGAAGATAATCAACTTGGAAACATCTGCTGAAAACCAGTGCCCCAAATTTGAGGGTGTCAAAACTGATTTATTTCCCCCTAATGTCACCCAGAAGAAACAATTCTTTGTTCTTTGTCAAGCAATGAATCACGCAGAAATAGTCTGCCTATTAGAAAAGTCACAGTGCACCACAACTCTGAGGGTGTCAGAATGGGCAGGGCAGGGGATGGAGTGGGAGGGAACGAGCCAGGCTCCACAGATCCTCTGGTAAAAGTTCCATCCTGCCCAAAGCCCTTTCTTCAAGCTGTTGAACTTGGAATGAACACTCAAGTCTCACCCCATTCCCCTCCCCATGCCCCTGGGCCTACTCACGGTTGAGAAGCCCGAGTTGCAGGAGCGAGGCCAGGGCGGTGAGGATCATGAAGAGCAGCAGCCCTCCCCTGCGCCCCAGGAACCTGACCACCACGCACATGGCCAGGCAGGACACTAGCGCGATGCTGGCAGTGGTGTAGTAGTCAGCATAGAAGTTCTCCAGCAGTGGCACCTTCACCTCGTGGCCCATCATGCTCCTGGCGAAGCAGTGGTGGATCCCATACCCTGTCAACCTGTGGAGAGACACATGGAGAGGGTGGTGCACCAGCTGGAGGGCCACCCCACTTCCTGGAGGCTCGCAGGGTCGGGTGACCAGGAGACAGAGAGGCAACTCGATATGCTGTAGACATGCACGCCACTGCTATCCACAGACCTATTACAGGGCACAAAAGACGTCAGAGAAACGTCAGGTGTGTGCCCCTTTATGGGGGTCATGTTCACCTTCTTTTGCTGTTGATTTAGTAGAAAGGTGTAGGCACAAGAGTGACAAGGACTTTTGTTCAAATTCAACCTTGCAGGGGAATCTAACACGTAAGACAAAGCACTTTCCATGCGTTAATTCACTCGACCCCATGGCAGCACCAAGAGATGTCATATCCATGTCATGGATGGGCAGACAGATGTAGAGTGGCTCACAGTTCTTAGTGGGTAAGTGATAATCTCAAAGACATACAGCCTGTCTCGATCTCTGCCTCTTCTTTGGGCACTCAGGGTTCAGGAAAGGTGGAGATGCACTCAGAGAACTCTGCCTATACCTACCACTATGCACCAGTGCAGCCAGGAAAAGCCAGTAAGAAGTCAGGCCATTTGGTCTTTACGACACTTTCTCTCAGTTCTTAACTTACCCCTGCTTCCCTCCCACTGCCCCGGTCAGGCCTCTTTACTGCCCCACACGAGCATATAAGCCTGCTGGGAATCATGTATCTACTCCGGAAAACAGGACCAAATGTGTAGCTGACATCTGAGTGGCATCTCCAGGCCTCTGCAGGGCTCTCTTTGGGCACGGCCATGTGCGAGGCAGCTGCTGTGCCGTGGCACACATCCCAGCACCAAAAATTCTGCTCTCTCTCTCAACTGGCCTTTCGTGCTTCAAAGAAATCTAAGTGCTTTTTATCCAACCTTGATGATACATCAAGGTCAATGACAACAGACCCCTTCCCTTGCAAGAGGAAGCCACTCCTCTACCTTGCTACTTGGCAAATACTCAGCAGTGCACCCAGATCCCCTGCACAGCCCTTTTATAATCCAGCAATTGATTCAACTTAGGGAGTCTCCTAAGAGCCAGATGAATTTCTCTTGCTCCTGGCCTGCTGAGATTTCAGGTTAATCTTCCACCTTTTTGTTCTGGTACAAGTGAAGTGCTCTGACCACAACAGATAATTTGAAGAGAACAAAACCTGGGAGATTGATTCCCTCTCTCTCCAACAAGAATCATCAAAATGGAAACTCACCATCTTGTCTATGTCAAATTTTGTGTTTTTTTCTGACATAAAAGCTAGAGTAGTCATTCAATTCCTAACAGTGCCATCAGCCCAGCCATGGGTGGGGCCACACCCTGGGGATGCAGAGGCTGGAGGGCCCTGGGCCTGACCCGCACGTGGCTGTGACTGGTCCGTAGGATGAAGATGCACTTTAGATCCATGCCCTTCTATTGCTTTGGCAGTAGAAGCTTTTGTATCCCTCCCAAAAGAAGTTCAGCCTGAAATCCCAATACGGAGAGCTGATTAAAGGAACCTCCTTCTCCGGAAACAGCTGTGGGTGTAGCCCCCAAGCCCAGGCTTGGGCCTTTCTTTTTACCTGGCAGTATTCCTGAGACCTTCATGAATGAGTACAATACTCCCATGACCTCTAACCCCAAATGAGGGTAAAATCCCTTCCCTTAGATGACCTCTGACCCTGGTCCACCTTGTACAGTCAGGGAAGAACAGGGTTATCGCACCGTGAGATAGGAAACTTCCTTTTAGATAACACACTCAGCCTAGCAGGCGGCGTGAATGTGAATAGCAGCAGAGGAGGGGTTTCTTGGAGAACGTGGGACTCACACTGGGAGACCTACAAAAACCTGTGGCTGCCTTGGGGTTGGACTTGCTTAGCTGGGCCACAGGTCTAGGGGCTCAGGGCCAGCTCCAGGCAGGGGGCCCAGCCACTCTGCAGCTTGAGTTGAGAGGCTGGCTAAGGCCCATGATGTCAAATCTCCTCTCCTGAGACAGGGCCTACAAATTCTAACATTGGAGTGTCCTAAGGAGGTGCATTTGTGCGCATCTTGGCTCCCCTAGACCTAAGAGGCACATGGTGAGGAGGTCCTCTTCACAGAGTGTACAGAGGCAGGGGCAAATGAGACTCATGTGAACTGCTCGAGAAGTGCAGAGAGAAGGAATCCTTCCAAGGAGGTCTCCGCATGATCCAGCTTGGCATCTTCCTGCCCTTGCTCATGGGGAGTTCCAGCACCATGCAGCTCATGGGCTAGGTGGCCAGCAGCTGGCCGGGGCTGGGGCGACTGATGGGGGATGCCAGTTGTGAGGCTTCTGGGAGGGGATAGATACCTTCAAGCCCATGTCCTCCCACAGACCCACTGTGAGGAAGCTCTGGCAGGGCCCATCACCCTCCTGCCTAGGCTGTGATTCCAAGTTCAGCTGCTAAGGGACCAGGGCCCTGTCCCTGCTGCCTGCCCTCCCCACCCTGGACCCTGGCTGGCTGGTGTCCCTCCAACTCACGAGTTCACACACAGGACCACGATGTTCTTCCACAGGTTCCGTGTCCCCACCACCTTCACGATGCAGACCTTCTTGGGCCTCCGGTGAAGCTCCTTCTCCAGCTCTGCAGAGAAATCGCCCTGTGAGCCCTGGTTCCCCAGTTCAGGCACCAAGGAAAAGGGGAAAAGTCTTTTTCTTTCCCTTTAAGCCAGGAGATAGGGTCTAGGTTTCCAGGACAGAAATGTATTCATAAGACTCCAGCTTTGCAGTTCAGGTTTCCCTATGATCCCGAGAGGCAGCCAGGACACAGCGTCAGAGTCAGTTTCCATTGCAAACCCTTGTTTTGGAACCAGGCAGGGCACATATGAATAAACAAACGGGTAGACTCATTTCACGTCTGTCTGAGTACAGAGCTAAATGATGATATTCTAGGTTCCTAAGGCACTAATTAGGCCTTAGGCAAACCTAAACAAGTACTTCTTTTCTGCATGGAGTCTGCATCTGTCCGTGTCACCTACAGCTCAGAGGCTGGGGGAGCTGGCCTTTGATACACATGTGCTCCTTAACCCTGTGGGGCAGGACTGACCTAGGCCATAGCTACTGCTGTTGGAATTGGCCTTAGAGCACATGGAACTCTGAAAGACAAATAAGTATGTGAATATGTACATGTGCATACATACATATACACATGTTCATACGTGCCTGTGTGTACATGCATGTTTCAGTTAACAGTAGGCAGTATCTGGGAAAGGAACCAGCCAATGTTATGGCTCCAATGGATGTGACCAACTATTATATACTCGAGACCGAGTTTCTTGTAAGGCTCAAACTAGCTCAGAAAGCCACACTGAGCGGAGTCCAGTGGCGCTCCAGTGTCATCTTAACCAGGCCAAGGAATTTATGGAAGTGCTAGTGTTGATTTGGCATTTTAACAGGGCAGATCAAAACAAGGACAGGCCCAGCTTCCAGGAACTGCCTGCCTTCCCATCTGGGCATGGAACTCCACACCTGCAGCCTTGTTCCCTCTAGTCCCCTCTGTCCTCCCTACTGAAAAGTTAAAAAAGAAAAAGGAAGGCCGAGTGTGGCAGCTTATTCCTGTAATCCAGTACCTTGGGAGGCCAAGGCCAGAAGTTTGAGACCAGCCCAAGCAACATAGTGAAAGCCTGTCTCTATCAATAAATTAATTAAAAAAAAAACAAAGTAAGGGCCAGACATGGTGGCTCACGCCTGTTATCCTAGCATTCTGGGAGACCGAGATGGATAGATTGTCTGAGCTCACGAGTTTGAGACCAGCCTGAGCAAGAAAAAGACCATGTCTCTAAAAAATATCCAGGCGTTGGGGTAGGTGCCTATAGTCCCAGCTACTTGGGAGGCTAAAGCAAGAGGACTGCCTAAGCCCAAGAGTTTGAAGTTGTGAGCTATGATACCATAGCAGTTTACCCAGGATGACAGAATGAGACTCTGTTTCCAAAAAAAAAAAAAAAAAAAATTTAAAAAGAAGTCTCTTTAAGACTGCTGAGGTCATGAGAAACAAGAGAGATAAGAAGTTGTCAAAATAGAAGTGGCCAGGGAGAAGGAAGAACTGAATGCAGTCTTGGATGGGACACCAGCCTGGGCAGAGTCATTCATGGAAAAACAGGTGACGCTGAGTAAAGGCTGAAGCTTGGTTAGTAGCAGTGTTCCAGTGTCAGTTTCTTAGTTTTGGCAAATGTATCGTGGTAATATCAGATATTAACGATGGGGGGAACTCAGTGAGAGGTACATGGAAATTCTGTACTATCTTGGCAACTTTCCTATACATCTAAAATTATTCTGAAATAAGGAATTTATTTAAAATAAGAAAAGCAGTGGAAGTGGGCTGGCACTGGTCCTTCTCAGACTGCCCCAGCCTGGGAGACCCGAGTTCACCTCTCCTCCCCAATATCCTTCCTGCAATCCGACAGTAGGGTGGTCACAAACCTCATTCTGCATGGTTTGAAGGAAAAATATGTTGCTTAACAATAGGGGTTTAGGAATTTTTTTATTTAAACAGACTTTTTTCAGACTTAGTATCATGAGCCAGGCCATAAAAGGGAAAAGGACAATCTTTCCTTTGACTGAGTGGTAGCAGACCTCCTGAGTTTCCAGAACTTTCTTTCCCACATTTAGGTGCAAAGATTGAGGTCTGTGCATAAGCTTGGATATTAGTCCAGAGACCTCTCAGGGACCTCTGAGGTCTCCTGGCCTTCAATTTCCCACAGCAAAAGTAGGCTGATTTTACTTACACACATACTTTCTCTGTGGTTATAAAGAGTAAATATTTTTAAAGTCCTTTGAAATATTATATTATGGTTAACAGAAAATCTTGGATACAATGTAACTGAGTATTTTTCATGTTATAAAATTTATCAGAAAACAAGTACACATGTAACAGCCATACTTTCTAATCATGGAAATTTTGCAAGAAGAAAATTTAAATGTCTATTAGCCTATTTATGTAAGTTTAATTTTTTTTTTTAGAAAATACGGCTCAAATTTAACTTCTAATATATATATTATTGTATGTGAAATAGGATGTTAAACAAGCTATAGCAATTGCATGATGATTTGAGTTTTCTTTTTTTTTTTGAGACAGAGCCTCAAGCTATCCCCCTGGGTAGAGTGCCATGGCATCACAGCTCACAGCAACCTCCAAGTCCTGGGCTCAAGCGAGTGAGTCTCCTGCCTCAGCCTCCCAAGTAGCTGGGACCACAGGCGTCTGCCACAGCGCCCGGCTATTTTTTGGTTGCAGCTGTCATTGTTGTTTTGGTGGGCCTGGGCTGGATTCGAACCCACCACCTTAGGTGTATGTGGTTGGCACCTTAGTCACTTGAGCCACAGGCACTGAGCCTTGAGTTTTCAAAATAACATTAACCCCTAGAATTGACTATAGTCTGCAGAGGTAATTGTATCATTCTAAGTGGAATTAAATTAACCTTTTCCAGGGCTATTGATATTTTCTCAGGGTCTCTGTTACTCTTACCACCAATCCATCAACAACAACATGAAACTTCACAGCACTAAGTCTGTTCCTAGATGCATACAGTTGCCTCTTACTACAAGCTCTGTGTAAAACAAGAAACATTGGATGATTTTGAGACCCTCTAAGGCATTGGTTCTCAATCTGTGGGTCGCGACCCACAAGAACTGTATTAAAGGGCCGCAGCGTTAGGAAGGTTGAGAACCACTGCTCTAAGGCAACAGAATCCAAGAGGCTTTTTGTATCTGTGGTTGTCAGATGGAAAATCTAGGGAGTTTTCTAAACTCTTCATACATGGAAATAAAAAGAGCCATGAGGAGCCTGGCCAGTTGATCAGATATGGGTGTCTAAGACGGCACCGCTGAACACATCCCTCTCCCAGATGCCTTCCCAGATGCTTCAGCCCTCTTGATTTAGAGTCCTTAGAAAACTTTCAGAAAACAAATGGAGCTTGCTTAATGTTGATGAGCCAGGTGTGCCCAACTCCATCCTGGGGCTCTGCTCCCCTGCTCCTTTGCGTTTCTGTAGATCCCTGTGTGGTCAGGCCTGGGCTGTGGGTCCTGAGGGGCCTTCCAAGCCTGGGGGGAACTGGGCTCTGCACTTCCTATTGGGCTTCTCAGGAAGGCTATGTGCCACTCTGTGCCCAGCTGCTCTCATGAAAGGACGTGGCCAGGCATCTGTCAATGCTCAGGGCACACTAGGGGAGCACACATCCCTCCAGCCCCTCCTTGCTTCTTGCCACCAGCCAGGGTTGGGAAAGCTGGTCCTGTAGGCCCACTGGCGGCAGGCATGGCATCTCCTCATCCAGCAGAGATCTGGTATGACAGGCACACCAGGCCTCCTGAGGGCAGTGGTGGAAGAAGGCAGATCACCCAAGACCAGGCTCGGGAGATGCAGAGAAGACACACACAGAGGAGAATCTGGGTTTGCTCCAGTCACTGTGAGAAAAACCCGCTTTGTTGTCCCTGTGGACAGGGCTAGTATGTTCCGTGTGAAGTTGGAAGAACATCAGTTAAAAAGATGAAAACCAAGAAAAGGAGGAGGAAGGGCAGGGGAGAAGGAGAGGAGAAAGAAGAGGAGGAGGAAAGTCTCTATTTCTGCCACACTCACTAAAAGCTCCAAGGAAGCAGGTCTGAGGGCCCCAAGCCCCACAGACACAGAGCAGGGGCCTGCTCCAGGCAGCCTCTCACCCTCAGAGGCAGAATCAGAGCACAGCACTTGGTTACGTGAATGACTGTGCTTTGAAAGCAAACAAGAGATCCAAGTGTCTATAGGCATGTTATCATAAAGTCACCTCACACACCCTGTCTTCAAAAGCTACTCAAATCTTCAACTGACTCAGCACTACCAATTTCTATTGTTGTCCCTTGCGGCATGGGCTCCACCTAACTGGATCTGCTGCTGTGAGAGTGGTTAGGAGCAAGGGCACTGGGCTGCCTGCCTGTGCTCGAATCTTGGCCCACCACTTAGGGAGTGGCGTGACTTTGAGCAAGGTACCTAACGCTAGGGACATTGAGATGACTTGATACACAGACTCTCTTGTCACCTTAGGTTCTGAACAGATTGACAAGACAGAGTTAGGCAAGTGAGTGCAAAACCCAAGCTGTATTACTGCTGAGGGCTGAGGGGAGCCCCACAAAGTGTGAGGTGGGGGCTCTGGAATCACACACACTTATCTTGAGTCCTGGCAGTGCCACTGCAGGCTGGCTGAGGACAGAGAACGCCTTCTCCCACAGTGGTTCAGCCCCCAGGAGACAAAGATTTTGCTTTCTCTGTCCTGAGGCTAGCTTGACACGGAGAGCTCCTTTCCCATGGAGGGGACAGAGGCATCACTGTTCCCCAACACTTGTTCTCCCTGGGCCCCCCCTTTCCCCTTGAAGTGGGGAGAAGAGTGCTCTTCCTCCGAAGGTTCTGATGTGGCTTAAATGCATGTAAAGTGCTTCCTTGTAGGCCCGGCAGAGTCACTATCTGATAACTTCTCTTACTATTGGTTGAGCATCCTAGACCCAAAAATCTGAAATCAAAATGCCCCAACGAACATTTCCTTTGAACATCAAGTGGGTACTCAAAAATTTTTAGATTTTGGAGCATTTTAGATTTGGGGTTAGAGATGCAAATCTGACAAGTATATTGTAAGTATCTGCAATTCTCCCAAACCTGAAATCCTAAACACTTCTGGTCCCAAGGATTTTGGATAATGGGGCATACTCAACCTTTATTGCTGAAAGCAAGTGGTTGAGTGCGGTTCTTATTCAGGGGTTTCTTTTTACAGTGAGCTGTAGTCTACCTAGCCACGTTTGGAACCAGCAAGACTTCATTCTTGCTATAAATGTTTAAAATCTTGGGACTTATGACACAGGCGGGACAGCTGTCAGAACTTGGGCATGTCATGTGATGCTAAGGTTGCGAGACTGCCATTGTGAGAATGACACTGAAGGAACACATCCAAGTACCTAAAGTAATTTAGCTGTACGTGCAACAAAGGACATCAGACATGTCCAAAGATAAACCAAGGATAGCTCTAAAAAAGGAAATGAAACAGAAAATTTGAAAACATCGTGTTGTCCTCCAACACGAATCCAAGATTAGGATGCCTTGATGGGGCCATAGGTAACACTGGACTCCCCTCCCACCCACACACCTATAGCCAGGCCTGAGACACTCATCCACCCTAACCTGCCTACAGGAGCCCTGAATCCATTTAGTGCATAAACAATTATGGAGATTTGCCATGTGGCAGGTCTCTGTGGAGCACAGCAGCAGCTGGCTGTATAGACAGAGGCTGTGCCATGCCTAGCCTTGTGGCTCTGCAGGGGTGATGGGCACTAATAAGGAGCGCACTCACCCATTACAGCCAGGATAGGGCAGCTGAGGGGAAGTGTAGCAGCACTAACAGTGCATGATAGGAGGGAGGTTTGACCTGGTCTGTGAGGAGCTGGCTAAGGTATGTGGGAGCTGGGAGGATAGGGCTCTGCAGAGGAAGAGGATAGTGTGTCCTGGGAGACAAATGATGGCCAGGGTGTCTGAAGAGTAAGCAAAGATCAGAAAGAGCCTCTGAGGTCAGCTGGGGGTCTATCAGCCAGGCCCTCGGAAGACACTGAAGGATTTTTAAGCAGGTGGTGATGTGACCAGATCACATCTGATCTGGCTGCAGAAAGAGAACGGACCACAGAGAGGACAGAGCAAGGCAGTAAGACTTGTTGGCAGGCCTGTAAGTGAGCACAGTGGGAGGCCATGCAGCTCAAGTCAGGCTGTGCCTAGGGGACCCCGTGTGGCCTTGGGAGATGAGTCCAAGCAGGGAAGCCGGTCTGGGCCAAGGAAGCTGGAAGTGACAACATAGCTAGGCGAAACAGCCACAGTGTCCGCCCACAAAGCGAGTGGCAGTTTTGCTGTGATGTTGCCATCAATGCTCTGACAGCTGGGAGGCGGCAGGGAGCCAGAGGCAGATATCAAGAGTGTCCTGTACAGCTCCCGGGTGGGGGTGATGCCTCTCCCCACTCTGCTAAGTCACACATACCAGCGACCTCTCTCCCAGCTCCTGCCTAGGACACTGGAATGGAAATATACACCACCTAAACTCATAAGCAAAGAAATAAATTTTAAAAAGATTTAATACCACTTTCCAAAAATAGGAGGGAAATGAATCAGTATAATTAGGATTGAGAAAACAAGATTTTCCCAGACAATATTTTAACATGAAAGAAGCAGAGCATGATGACTTAATTAGGGAAATTCCACAAACAAATCATACTATAAGACTTAAGAGCATTAGCTTGCTAATGAATGGGGTCTGAGGAGGTTTGGAGATGCTATATGGATGGCCCAAAATAACCAAACGTGGCCCCAAAAGAGAGATCTTGGTTTGATACTCATTCCTCCCTGTGCAGGAGATTCACATCTACCTCTAAGTTCTTTCTCATCTCCCAGAGCAGCACATTGAAGCCACTTTTGCTGGACTTTGTGGGTTCAAGTCCCAGCTCAATCACTTAGTAGCTGTGTGGCCTCTGGCGAGGCAAGCTGCTTAGTGTCACAGTGCCTCCGTTTCTTCATCTATAATTGGGGATAACTATGGTACTTCTCTAATAGACTGTGGTGAAGAAGAATATTGACATGTAAAACACTTAAGAGTAAATATTAAACATGGGCTAATGTTGGCAAACCATTTAGTGCCTGACACATAAGCACAATGGGAGTGTCATCCCCTTTGTTCTCACTGTCCCTGGGTAAAAAGGGCCTTGGACACACCCTTGCAAGCACCAGCACTCTGTGCTGTCCAGGTGCACCAGACCTGGCCCGGGCCCTTCGTCCCAGTGAAGCCAAAGCTTCAGGTTTCCTGTGGTAGACTGTGCCCTGCTGTCCTGACTCTCAGGTCATGGGCATGGGTCATGGCAGGGATGATAGCCAGGCTGAGCCACAGGGGTGGCTGAGGAGTGTCTACCTACATGAAGCCTCTGGTTTCCTGAATCGGGGTTCTAATGAGAGCCTGTCTGAGAACTATAGGATTCCCTGACTCGTCCTTTCTGGCTGTGAATGGAGACCTGCGGGGTAAATTATCCTACCTGCTCAGGCCACTGCTCACGTGTGCCCTCAGAGCCAGGCTCCCCCGGCCACTCTAACTGCAGCCACTGCCCACCACTCTCCATCCCTCAGCCTTGTGGTTTCATTCCTCCTGACATAAAGCATGTGTAACTGTTCCCTGTCTGCTCTGTGAGCACAAGGCTTCACCTGCTCTCCCCTCTACTCTAGAGCAGTACCTGGCACATGGCACGCATTTAGTAAACACCTCTTGGTGGAGGGAATGAATTCTTATCACTAGACTTTACGATCATGGGGAAAAGTGAGCATATTCTCTCCTGGACAAGGGCCAGTTCTCCAGGTTAGGGCAGTGGATCAGAGCTTGGGATGGATCTATCAGTGATTTTCAAAAAGAGATCTGTGTACAACTTGCACCAGGATCTCTCTAGTGTTTATTAAACATGCAAGTTCCCAGAGTTTGTCCCAAATCTACTAAGCTAGAATCTCTGGTGTGCCAGGGACGAGCCCAGGAATATGGATTTCAATAACCTTCTGGTGATGCTTGTGGGTCCCCAGCCTGAAAGCCCTGCCTGGGCAGTGATGGTAATGCTCCTGCCACACAGGATTCCACAGATCTGTGCCACTAGACAAAAATACATCACTTTTCCTGTCTTCTGTTGCCCAACCAAGAGATCATGGCCAGAAATAGACAATAGCAGCTCTCGGAAGGTCACTCTTGGGAAAAGAGAGGTCATGCAGGGCACGCACACTGCAAGCCAGGGCTCTGGCAGTATTTAACCTGGGCAGGCAGGCGGGCAGGGCTGTGGGCCTGACAGTGCATTAGGTTCATGCCTCGCTTCTGGATTTGGACAGGCGATGTAGGGCACAGTAAGCTGGACTTGATCGTGAAAATATTCCACACCTAGAAAGTGGAGAGAATCTCAATTCACTCCCGCTCCTAGATTCTGGCTGTTCTGCTGCCCTTGTGCAGACTGCGTGGTCACAGGAGAATAGAGCAATGGGTGAAGATAGTAGCTTGCTGCAACAAAACCTGCCAAGGGACCCCGCCAGCCCTCAGAGCACTCACCCGGCATCACACCCTTGATGTCACTCTCTGGGCTCATGCAGTTCTTCTGTGTGAAGTGTAGGATCAGCCTCTTCGCAGACTCAAACTGCTGGGTTGCCATCAGCCACCGCAGGGACTCAGGGAATATCCTTCAAAGGCAAAAGGGAATTGGTGAATGTCTCCCGATTCTGAGGGGCATGGGGACCTTTGCAGGTGGCTCTCTGACCAGGGGCTGGCAAAGGGCTGAGGACACTCATTGGCCCAATCAGGGGAGTAAGACTGTGCGCACTGAAATGTCTCCAATTTTCTTGGACTCAGGGAATATCCTTCAAAGGCAAAAGGGAATTGGTGAATGTCTCCTGATTCTGAGGGGCACTGGGACCTTTGCAGGTGGCTCTCTGACCAAGGACACTCATTGGCCCAATCAGGGGCGTAAGACTGTGCGCACTGAAATGTCCCCAATTTTCTTCTAGAAAGTGTAAAACTTGAGGCTTTACGTATGGTCAACAGAAAGTCAAAAGCATATTCTTACTCATATGTGGAAGCTTAAAAAAAGTTGATCTCACAGAGATCCCTTGAGGGGATCAGAGTTCCCTTGAGGTTGGGAAGGGTAGAAGGGGAGATAGGGAGAGACTGGTTAAAGGACACAAAACTACAGCCAGACAGGAAGAAGAATTTCTAGTGTTCTATAGCACTGCAGGACGATGTTAGTGAATGATAATACAGCATATTGTTTCAATTAGCTAGAAGGACAGTATTAAATGTTCCCAATACAAAGAAATGATAAACATTTGAGGCGGCAGATGTGCTAATTACCCAGGTCTGCTCACTATGCATTGTGTATCAAAACATCACTATGTACCCCGGGGGTATGTGCAATTATTACTTGTCAATTACAAAATAAAAACAATTTTTTTAAAGTGTCGGATATGAGCAACATTCTATTAATGGTTTTAAGAAGTCAATGTACACATTTCAAAATGACCATGGGTTTCTAAAGCATGTAAAAACAATTCATTGACGGCTGCTGTTTTAGTTGTATTCTGTCACTAAAAAATTAGCAATAAAATTATTTTAAGTGATGATCAAACTGGCAGTCGTTTTCAGTTTCTGAAGGTATGCAGGCTCACTCTCACAGGGCTTCCCTTCAGAATTATTTCAATTTTTTTTTTTTTTTTTGAGACAAGAGTCTCACTATGTCATCCTCGGTAGAGTGCTGTGGCGTCACAGCTCACAGCAACCTCAAACTCTTGGGCTTAAGCAATTCCCTTGCCTCAGCCTCCCAAGTAGCTGGGACTACAGGCGCCCGCCACAACACTTGACTATTTTTCGTTGCAGTTGTCATTGTTGTTTTAGTTGGCCCAGGTGGATTCCAACCTGCCAGCCTCAGTGTGTGTGGCTGGTGCCATAACCACTGTGCCACGGCTGCCAAGCCAGAATTATTTCCCTTTGCTGCTAACTGCATGTCATGTTTCCCTGAGATGACACCACAAAACAGTGGTTTTCAAGTTATATCAGCAATTGGGTATCTGTTTTTCTTTTTTTAAAAAGATAAAATCTTGTGAGGAGCCCCAATAGAAAAATAAACCTCATGTATTATTTTCAATTAATTTTGTAAATTTACATTTATGACAGTATTTGCCAGTCACTGTTTGGAGCAGGAGCTAGCATTCTGTCTCTATAAATGTCCTAGTAGTCAATATTGTAGACTTTGTGGGAAAATGGTCTGTTCTAACTTCTCAACTCGGCCTCACAGCCCAACAGTGATAAGAGTAGACGGGGCCATGTGCTGAAGACACTTTATTACAAGACAAGCAGCAGACCCCTGACTGGTAGAGACACAAAGTGGAAATCGAAGTTGTGGTGACAGTCCTATCCTCTTGCAGCCCTACCTGTTCTAGTTACATCTAGATCTTATTTTGGCTACACAGTAGCAAGAAAATCATAATCCACCCTGGAAAGAAGTTATTGTTGGCTCGGCGCCTGTGGCTCAAGCGGCTAAGGCGCCAGCCACATACACCTAAGGTGGCGGGTTCGAATCCTCAGCCCGGGCCCGCCAAACAACAATGATGGCTGCAACCAAAAAATGGCCAGGCGTGTGGCAGGCGCCTGTAGTCCCAGCTACTTGGGAGGCTGAGGCAGGAGACTCACTTGAGCCCAGGAGTTGGAGGTTGCTGTGAGCATGATGCCATGGCACTCTACCAGGGGGATGGCTTGAGGCTCCATCTCAAAAAAAAAAAAAAACGAAGTTATTGTTAACTACTGAACACCTGCCTTGCAAGCTCATGAGTCTTTTAACTAAATAGATTGAGAAGATGGAAAAAGTTTTAGTGGTGTTCTGGTCTAAATGTTGTCCTCCCCCCCTTTCATATGTTGTAACCTAATATCCAACGTGACAGTATCAAGAGGTGTGGCCTTGAGGAGGTGATTAAATCATCAGGATGGGATTAGTACCCTTATAAAAGAAGTTGAAGGGGGCTTCCCTGTTCCTTCTGACATGTGTGGACACATATTAGGCACCACCTGTAAGAAGGGGCACTCACTAGACACTGATCTGCTGGTACCTTGGACTTCCCAGCCTCCAAAACTGTGAGCAAAACATTTCTATTGTTTATAAATTACCCAGTCTAAAGTATTTTGTTATAGCAGCAGAAACAGGCTGAGACAAGTGGTAAATCTTTATTTCAAAGTCACAGCACTAATGATATCTAATAACTATTGCTTTTTCCTTACCTATTTGAACAAAACTCAAGTTTCGATTTGCCTATACTGCCTTTTACAGAAAGAGCTGGGCATGTCCCTACTGAACTTGGTGGTACACTTCAGATGGTCTGATCTGAATGTCAACTCATGCTGGGAGATTTGAGGAATTTCTGGGAGAATTAAAAGCTTTCCTCCTGAGCAGCTCTGTGGAGGTGCAGGAGGGCTGCATGGCTGTGGATAGAAGGTGTCAAGTCATTTTACATGGGAACCCCAACTGGGAAGCCACAACATATGGGTCAGCCAATTAAGGTCTCTAACTCATCTTAGAAAAAGTGCTATGTCCCTCATTGCTTAATACCACTATGGTCCCCCAATGGCCAAGGAGGGTACTTTGAAGGTGACCACACTGATACTCAGCAGTGACGTATATAGCACTTTTTCTAGGATGAGTTCTTGAATATCTAGTAACTATTGCTTTTTCCTTACCTATTTTAACAAGATTCAAGTTTCAATTTGCCTATACAGAAAGAGCTGGGTATGTTTACTGGCCTCTAGTAATGAAACTGGCCTCTAGTCATGAAAAATTAAATTTGAATTACACAATTCAAGCAAGCAGAAACATTCAGATATAATTTAACATATATTACATAGATATTAACATTTTGTCATATTTCTTATCAGATCTTTGCTTTTTATTTATTAATTTATTAATTTATTTATTTTGAGACAGAGCCTCAAGCTATCACCCAGGGTAGAGTCCCATGGCGTCACAGGTTACAGCAACCTCCAACTCCTGGGCTTAAGCGATTCTCTTGCCTCAGCCTCCCAAGTAGCTGGGACTACAGGCTCCTGCCACAACACCTGGCTATTTTTTGGTTGTAGTTGTCACTGTCGTTTGGCAGGCCCAGGCTGGATTCGAATCTGCCAGCTCTGGTGTATGTGGCTGGCGCCTTAGCTGCTTGAGCTACAGGCACAGAGCCTGGATCTTTGCTTTATAATGAAATAACCATTTGTGTTAAATGCCAACCTCCTATAGTTTAAATTCTCATCTATATTATTTTTGTCTTTCTGATGTATTTGGATTTAGTCTTTTTCTAATTTCCAACATTCTATATGTTAATATAGATCATTAACATTAATTTTCTAATACTTTAAACTTCACCATTTCATGTGTTATTTCAGCTACATCTGTGATTTGATTCCAAATATTTTGTGATTTCTATTGGAATTTTTCCTTGCTGATGGAAAAAATCTAAATATAATCTGAAAGCATAAGTGATTTGGTCAGTGGTCTCCAGAGTGTTAAAATATGATATACAATACATGGGAATTTGTGTCCTATCAAAAAAATTTTAAATTATTTATATAAAATGTTTACAGAACTAACTCCATGGCAGGAAATGGAATTTGAGAATCAACATCATGATTGGAGAACAAGGACCAGAGCACAAAAGTGGGGACTGGCTGGGGGGAGCCACAGCTCTACCTTCTAATGCCTAAGCCCAAGATCCCAGCAGCAGTGCCCAGGGCTGAGAACACAGGCAGCAGTATAAACAAATAAACATCTTTATGAGAAGTGAAGGTGATCAGAAAAGAGACTTCTAGAGCATCTCTGAGAACTGCAAAGCTTGTACACACGGTTTCCAGGACAGCAGTATTCATGAAGGAATGGCATGACCCTAGGATTTAAGAAGTATGTTTAGGCCCCTTTTGGAGATCCAACTTTTATTGGGTCACCAAAGTATTTTTTTCTAAAATGTATTAAGCATCAGCAGTACAAGTCCATCTCAAATGGATACATTCCTTACCTCATGTCTTACACAGGGAGACCTCTGAAAGTATAAATGAAGTGTACACCCCATCCCCTAGACCAGGCGTCCTCAAACTACGGCCCGCAGGCCACATGCAGCCCGCATAGGACATTTATCTGGCCCGCTGGGTGTTTTTGCTGCTGCTGCCTGTCCTGCTTAGCTGCCAACTCGTCCTGGGACCCGCAGCCTGGCCCTCCAACGGTCTGAGGGACAGTGAACTGGCCCCTGTTTAAAAAGTTTGAGGACCCCTGCCTAGACTTAGGTGCTACCTGGATGGAATCCTACACAGTAGGGGGCAATCCTGGGCAGGTGATACATGTTTGGTCAGAGGAGGTTCTGGAAGATAGTAATCTGCCTGGGCTGTCTTGGAACGTGAACAGCTGAGGGTCAGGCCTGGCAGGTTTTGGGATATGTGTGGAGACAAGACCCAGAAATGAGTCATAGGGCAGTGTGTTGTGTTCACAGAGTTGCAAGCAGGTAAACCAGAAAGCTGGGAATGAGATGCAGAGGGGAGACAGAGGCAGGGCCCAGATAGTGGGGGATCCTGAGTATTACGGCATTTAAGGAGCATGGGAGTGAACTGAAGAGCAGAAACGATGCTCTCTAGGAGATCTGGGCACAGGATCCTGAGTACA